TTTTACATATTTTAATGATTTTTTTTTTGCCCCCCTCCCTCCCCCATATCCCCTCCCTCCCCATAGTTTTATGTCCATTGGTTGTACTTATATGCATGTATACAAGTCCTTCGGTTGATCTATTATCTCCCCCAGATCCTCCTCCCCTCCCCGCTGTAATTTGACAATCTGCTTGTTGCTTTACTGTCTCTATATCTATCTTTTGGTTCATCAGTTTATAATGCTCTTTATTATCCACAAATGAGTGAGGTCATGTGGTGTTTCTCTTTCATTGATTGGCTTATTTCACTCAGCATGATGTTCTCCAATTCCATCCAGGTTGCTGCAAATGATGAGAATTCCTTCTTCTTTATGGCAGCATAGTATTCCATTGTGTAGATGTACCATAGTTTTTGGATCCAATCATCTGCTGACGGGCACCTAGGCTGTTTCCAAATTCTGGCTATTGTAGATTGTGCTGCTATGAACATAGGGGTGCAGTCAATTTGCATATTACTCTTTTATTAGATAGGATTCTTTCAACTTTTTCCCCCAATGTTATGGATTGAGACCCCTTACCATTGGTGCTCTTTTTTTTTTTTTTTTTTTTTTTTTTTTTAATATATTTCTATTGATTTCAGAGAAAGGAAGAGAGAAGGAGAGAGAGATGGGAACATTAGGGATGAGAGAGAATCATTGATTGGCTGCCTCTTGCACACCAGCTACTGGGGATTGAGCCTGTAACCCAGGCAAGTCATGACCTTGACTGGAATCAAACCTGGGACCCTTCTGGCTGCAGGCCAACACTCTATCCATTGAGCCAAACCAGATAGGGCAATTTACCATTCAGACTTTATCGTGACTACTTGACTATTTTATGAAACCACTATGAACCGCTAAATCACTTTGTCAGAAAGCATTCCCTTAGGTTGAAATAGTATCTGTCTTGGTTCCGTATTCTACCCATTGTCCTATGGTATAAAATGAAATGCTTAATTTCTCTCTTTTACAATATAATCCTTAAAGTAGTTGACTTTTCATACTGCTTCATCAGTTTCTTTTGATCCTATGCTGCATAGTTTGCAACTCAAGCTTTCAGGGGCTAAAAGTCTGAAAACTACATTTCCTAGACCAGTGTTGGCAAACTCATTAGTCAACAAAACCAAATAGCAACAGTACAATGATTGAAATTTCTTTTGAGAGCCAAATTTTTTAAACTTAAACTTCTTCTAACGCCATTTCTTCAAAATAGTCTCGCCCAGGCCATGGTATTTTGTGGAAGAGCCACACTCGAGAGGCCAAAGAGCCGTGGTTTGCCGACCACTGTCCTAGACTCTCTCCAGTAAGGCTTGGGTTAGACTGTGGTAATGCGAGGAATCTGGGAGTAGTTGGAAGGTAGGAGAGAAACAGAGTGATTGTGCTCTGGTAACAGAGGTGGGCAAGCCAACAGGCTTCAGCAGATGTAAAGTCTTGCCCTGGCTTCCAGCAATCTTCCTGCAGCCCCACGTGGATGTGCAGGCAGGCCAAATCACCGCTGATGGCACTCCTGCCACATCTGAGTTCCTGAGAGCCATAGAGCCTTTCCCTGAGCTTTGGCTTCCCCGTCCTTTCAACAATTTCTTTCTGTTTGAAATGAGGGGTTTAATTTCCCTGACAGATTTGGTAGGGAAAACAGAAGCTACCGTATTTTTCCATGTATAAAATGCCCCCATGTATAAGACAACCACTGCTTTTCCAACCCAGACAAGAAAGAAATCAATAGTTTAAACATTTTGCTGGTTTTCCTCTTAAAATAGTCTTCTTTTTTGCATCTCAAGAAGTTGCTCTTCCTGTTTTCTCCACTGTCTGATCATACACTCAGTGGGAGGAGGTCCAAATTGTCTCTCTGCAGCTCTTTTTCCATGCTCTTTTGCACAGCTGATTACATTCAGTTTGGATTTTGCAGAGTAAGACAATCCCTTACTGGCATTTATCTTTTTATTTTTTTGCATCTTTATGGGTTCAGAACGCTCCTGTCCCTGTTGCATCTGGCACTCTCCACCTCCAATTACAGCATGAGCTGACATCAGTAACAATAAGGCCTGTGATCGGAGGAAGCCTGTTTGACAAGGCATGGGCAGCTACACACCTGTGGGGTGCCCTCCTTGGCTGACTTCCATATATAAGATACCTCTTGATTTTCAGTCTAACGATTTTAGAAAAAAAAAAAAAATAGCATCTTATACACAGAAAAATACAGTACTCCCTATAACTAAAATATAAAGAATTTTCATGGAAAATAGAGGTTTATGCAACTACAGGAAAAAATAGGTAGGCAAAGATCAGGGAAGCTGCAACGGAACAAAGTCAACAGCATTGGAGAATGGCTCTCAAGAGCTCACTGCAAGTTGCTGAAAACCTCAACACCTCTGGAGGCCATCAGCGACCTTTGCCACCTACAGCACCGAGTCAGGCTACAGCAGGATCTGCCTCTGGAGAAAAATGGCCTCTTCTCATCAACCTTCCAAATCTCATCCACGTGACTTTCTCTGGCAGACTCTAACTCAGAACTACACAACAAGAAGGATTCTGGGAAATGCATCCTGGTTCTCTCTGTAATGCAGAAGAGACTGGAGAAGAGGGTGATGGTGATACACAGGTGACAACAGGTGAACTAGCTCCTGAATCATATTTTTCTTATGCGCCATATCCCAACTTTTATCATTTTATGTTTCTTCTTTATGTTCATATCTTACTACACTGCCTGCTATTATGATCTGAAAGGTAACCCCTTTATCATAAATGAACTCTTCCTTATAAAAGATATCCCCATCAACTATAATTAAAAATATTTAAAAAATGCCCTCAGATTAATAATTTTTCCTTATATCATTTCTTTCATCTCCTGAGAGAGAAAACTGCTACGAAAATTTATGCAGTTTTGTGCTTTGTAGAGAACAATAATTTTGTATATGTACAAACAGAATTACATCTTAGAAATGGAAAGGTTCTTAAGAGTCACATAGTTAGATTTCCCAACCAATATTTGAGTCTTTACAATTGGAATGATAAGTAATCACACACGTGCTCCTTACTTTTTGCTCTTGTGGCCAACGTACCTCAACACTCTTTCTACTGCACCTGAACTCGGCCCTGGAATCTTACTCCATTCACCACCCTAGCCAGCTAGTACTGATAGTTAAGAGCATCCCTGCCAAGTGGCCATTAGCCTATTCCCCTAACATCTCCATGCAGTGAGAATGAATACATCACTTCCCAAAAGTTGCCCCTTCCACCTCTAAATAATTCCATCTGCTAGAAAGTTCTTCCTTATATGGACCTGAAATGCAAGTTCCTGAATGTAGCTTCTACCCACTGGTCCTATTCCTGAGACCAGAAGGAACAAGTCCAAAGCTGCTTTCATAAACAACTGTTCCAATACTTGAACACAAGCCTCTTCTGCTTGAGTCTTGCCTTCTTAAAGCTAATAACAACAATATGAGTTCCTCTAACCACTTCCAGTGTTCCTTCACAATTTTGGTGATTCTCTGGAAGTTTTCCAGATTGTCTCAAGGTGTGGCATCCAAAAATTTGCTCTGAATTGTCGAGTACAGACAGCTCCCACACATTAGTAGCATGTATACGCAAAGTTTGTTGAACTGCACACTGTTTAGCAAAGCAGAGTCAGACTTCTAACCATGACAGACTGGGCCAACCAATATCTGAAAGTTGTCTTTGAGACCCACACAGATCAAGTACAAACCCACTTCCGAAAACAACTCTTCCAACACTTGCAGACCAATTCTTTAACTAGTCTGTCAGAACCATTTCCCCCTTTACTATATTTTAATTTTTTCCTACATTATCTTCTAAGTGTTTTACGTATTCGGTCTTAAGCTAACAGCAGTGCATCAGAGTGGATGCTTGGCCTCTTCATAGTGTTTTATCACAACCAGCTCTTCCAAGTCACTGTTGGGGGTTGCGTTTTCTGCACCATCACTAAACCACTGCTTAACGAGGGCTTGAGAGAGACTGTTGTAGGATGTGAAAATAGTTTCAGTTCAATAACAGAGCGTGTGAGACAACTGCACGTTAGTCTCGTAGCCTCACCGGAGCTCCACCGTATAGAAACAGCAGCGTGTGCACACACAGTGCTGAGCAACAGCGGCTACTTCTGTTCATCAGCAAAAATGGCACCACCGTGCGTCCCCAAACTATGCCCTTTACCTTTTTCCTGAGAAAATTAGTCTTTTTATTTTACTTTTGAAAATTAGTCTTGAAATATGATTTTCATCCTGAATCTCTTCAGAAACACAGCTAACACACAATGTAGATGTCTTCTTAAAACACAACGTTCCCTACGTCTTTCATAAAAGGCTCCTCTTACCACAGATAGACCCAAGCACAGAGAAAACAGTGTGGCGATTATGAGCAGGGACTCTGGAGCCAGACTGACTGGAAATGAATCAGTTTTATAATTTTCTAGTTTTATGACTTGGGTATGTTACTTACCTTCTCAGTGCATTAGTCTGCTCAGCTGAAAAATGAGAATGATGGTACTGACCCCCCACTTCCTTAGAGGGTTGTTGTGAGGATCAAATAAGTTAATCTATGTAAGACACTTACAACCCCACCCGCACTGAATAAACACCAGGCCATTGCGGCAAATGTCATCATCACCACCTTCACCTTCCCATCAACCCTTGATGATACTTAGAAGAATGAATTTATTTCACTGGGTTAAAAAAAAAAATAAGGTGCTCCTTAATGTAAATTACTCACACTATATGCAATGGGATGAAGGTATCAGTTCTCCTTTTGCTACTTTGGGAAAACTGTGAGAACCCTTCTTCATCACAGTCTGCGCATCAGTGTACAGGAGAGTGTACATCAGTGTATAGGAGAGCGGACATCAGTGTACAGGAGAGTGGCGATAGTTAGGGAGCCTCTTCTAGTGGAAATACTGGGTAAGTGGTCTGATTCTGAGCAGAGGCTGCTCAGACACTGAGTGCGAGAGCGTGTGTTTCATTTGCCCGTCCTACCTTCAGCCTGTCTTTGGGCAGAGCAACAATTCCTTGCTTGATGATTTCCAGGACCCGTTCCACCGAGAGCTCAGCGCCAGCCTGTAGCAACCTGGAGCTGAAGAAGGTGATCACCTGGAATGCAGAATGAGATTTTTTAAACAAGTAGACGTAGGAGATGTATTTTCAGCTGTTTTTTTCACATAGTGCCTTTCTCACATGGTCGCCAAACTATCATAACTGCACGTCTTACCGTGACCTGGCTTTTCTCACTAGCCCTCCTAACTGCGTCCTCTCCATAGAGTTTGATGTCTGAGTCACAGTCAGCCTGAGTATTCAGGGCTCGTTGGCCATCCTGCGGTTAAGCAGGCTCCTGAATCTGCTTTCTTGTGCTGCCTCACCTTGTGTTTATATCTAAGTTGGAGAGAAGCAGCTATTAGAAGGTAGAGAAAGAAAGCTAAAGCTTAAAGCCTGTTAATACTGAGGCTTCATAGTAACTAAGAAGAAGAAAAAAAAAAGTGAAATAAGAAAGAAATGTGAAGATAATGGCTAAAATGATGTTCTGGGCAGTCTTTATACATTTAACTTTCCCACCACACTTACATCATGATCAGCACAGATAATCAACAGCAAGCTATAATTACTTCTGCTCATGTCACAGCACAGCCATAACTAAGCAGCGGCATTCTGTCCCTCAATATCTGTCACAAAACACTAAAAGACTATCATATCTTAGCAAATCATTTTAGCACCACAGTGATAACAAATCAAGACATTGTCAATCCCTTGTTATTCAAGAACATCACACTTGATTTAACCTTGTTCGCCATTTGTGGGGCCGCCATATTGGCAACTGAATGAACTAGTCTGGAGTTCAGTAAGGAGGGTTGGGTATGAAAATACACAAAATCTAACTTGAATTTTACAGTGAGCAGAGATAAAAATAGTTCTTGCCTTTATCATACACATCCGTTATTGTTCACCACCTCTGTTCTTTACTTATTTTTTATTTTTAAAAATATTTTTATTGATTTTTTACAGAGAGGAAGGGAGAAGGATAGAGTTAGAAACATCAATGAGAGAGAGACATCGACCAGCCACCTCCTGTACACCCCCCACTGGGGGCGTGCCCGCAACCAGGGTACATGCCCTTGATCAGAATAGAACCCGGGACCTTTCAGTCCGCAGGCCTATCCACTGAGCCAAACCGGTTTCGGCTGTTCTCTACTTATATTAAGCCATGAAATTTCTTCTCTCGATTGTGTGGTAACCCTATTTTGTCCTGCTGCCTATTCAGCCAGCTCATTTAATCTTATGAGTTAGATGGGAGGCATGCGTCCCACTGGCTAATAGAAATTTGGCCACTTGAAAAACACTTGTCTAACTCCTTCTGCAGAAGTTAAAAGCGCTCCAAGGTTAGTCACTCCTGTCTCAGATATTTAACATTGCTGAATGTCTTAATGAAAAATATCAACTCTCAACTCCCTGTCAGCTAAAAATAACAGCAGATTCATAGTGTCCTCTCCCAATACTTCTCAAGGTTAACTTCGTGAAAAAAGAAATAGTAAAGACTTGCTTAAGCCAAAATTTCAGGGGCATTTAGGGGAGAGAAGGTAAAGTGCTGAAAGAAGCAAAAAGTAGAGATGTTATTTATATCTCTGCTATGGCATTTTTTTCAAAACATGTAAAAAGAGTTTAAAATGTTTCTGAATAAATTTCAGAATAGTGTGCCTAGCACTATTTTGGATGGCAGTGTTCAACAAAAAGTTGTTGGAAAGCTTGCTCATTTGGAATCTTACTTAGGTTTATCCTAGTGAATGTTGAAAGCATAGAGTTTATAATGGATTGAAGGGTCTGAGTGACTTATTAGCTAAGTGACCTGAGCCAGCCTTTTTCCTTTCATGCGCTGCTTTGCTTCAATGGGATTGTTGAAGATTCAAACGAGATAAGGTATATGTAAATGACTTACAAAGCAAATATGTAATCATTATCTAAGACAAAGATTCTTAGGCTTGGATTTATGTTAAAATCACCTGGAAACCCTCTCTCTTATCTGGGATAATGGTTAAATCTATTTTAGGATATTCATAATATAGATATTAAGATGTGAGATTTTCAAAGGATTGATATTACATAAAAATGTTAATGATCTAAATGTTAGGTAATATATGTTTGTGTGTATATATGTCTGTACATATAAGATATATACACACGGAATGCAACAATTGTTATAGCAGAATAGAGGGCAAATATAGTTAATATTAAAGAGACTCTATTATAGTTTTTATCAAGGTTTGTTAAACTCCTCTACTTTAATATTTAAAAAAGAACCATGATAAATATCTCCATTTACACTTACCAGATCAATATTTTGCATTATATCCTGAAAAGAAGGATGAGTTCGGAATTGCTCAAAGAGATCTCGTTTGTAAAGCAGTGCATACACCAAGTTTGGGTTGTGGTGAAGAGACGTTGTCAGGCAGGAATTGATGATCTCTAACATCATTCGGATCACTTCCTCGATGACATTTAGGTCTTGTGCCTGATAAAGAAAGACAATACCCACACAGAGTCAGTGTTTTACTCCTTAACACAGAACTAATTGGAATGAGAACCATAAAACTTAAGAGCCATTACGAGCCCTGACAGGTTTGGCTCAGTGAATATAGCATTGGCTTGCGGAATGAAAGGTGCCTGGTTCGATTCCGGTCAAGGGCATGCACCCTGGTTGCAGGCACATCCTCAGTAGGGGGTGTGCAGGAGGCAGCTGATAGATGTTTCTCTTTCGTCGATGTTTCTCACTCTCTATCCCTCTCCCTTCCTCTCTGTAAAAAAAAATCAATAAAATATATTAAAAAAAAAAAGCCATTATGAGTACCTTTGTCAGGTTCTTTTCAATAAAAGTTCTATCCCAGTTCTCAATTTCTAGCAGCGAACCTGGTGCCAGTATGTTGCCTCCCACCTGGCACCTTTCACTGCCTCCTGCACACGGGGATTGAGCCGGCAACGGAGGTACGTGCCCTTGAACATGCCCTCGAACAGAATTGAGGTTGAGGTCCTTTAGTCTGCGGGTCAATGCTCTGTCCACTGAGCCAAACTCACTAGGGCTCAGATGATATTTAAAGAAGGTTGCTATTGGATTATTTTCCATAAAGATTAAGTGAGGTAGCATTTGTAAAGCCCTTAAAACAGTGTGTAACACATGGTAAGTATCACATGAGAGCTTTTAAAATATAAAAACAGATACATCAAAGTATTTTAAAGGATAAAAGTCATTTTAATTTTGGACATATTACAAAAAAGAACAAAAAGATAAAAATGCCTTTAGAAAGTTAATAAATTCAATTATTATAACTGCAAATAACTTAGAAATCACATTTCTTAGCCTTAACTATAAGTCTCCAAATTCAATTTCTATTAATTTACAAGACTGATCCTTTAAAAAAAGCCAAAACAGGTCCATCAGAGGATAATGCATAGGAAAATTGACTTACATTTATGGAATAACAAAGTTTTATAAAAACACACGTTTTTAAAAACTATTTCCTCTGTACTGTTAAAACTAGCTTTGTCAGAAAACTAGCTTTGTGATGGCTAACTGGTGGAGCAGCAACATACATGCAGAATATTGCACCTTTTTCATTCATGGTATTGTATTTTTCAAACACACAGCTTCCATTCCAGGAATGGATCCCAGGTCAAACAGACTTTGTCCTCAAAAAAACATCAACAAATCCCAAACATCCCAAAACACACACACAGACACACACACACACACACACACACACACACACACACGCACACACACTCTTCACTGCAGACGATCTCAAATGTAAAGACCAGGACCCTGAGAAAATGGTCGTTTTCCGTGGTTCTGTGGTTTTCGTATATGTTGGTAATGAACACCGAGCGAGCCCTGTGCTAAGTAGTGATTTCATGTCAAAGGGACAAGTTGGCAGTTGTGGGAGTATCTTACCCTGTCAACAGCACTCATGGCTGCCTCATTATATAAACTTCCTTTTCCCTTTTAAGAGGGAATTTATACAGTTAAATAGTTTCAAATCATTTATTTTTAGTTTCCTTAAGAGAAGCATATGTATCTTGTTTGTATTAGTTTTGGGGGGATTCCAAAAGAGTTGTCTAAATTTCCTGCATTTTTAGCAGAAAATAAAACCTTCAACAAAATTAATGGATGCTGCCCAAGTGGGGAAGCGGGGGAGGAAACACACAGGCAGGCCTCTTTCTAACGTTAATGTGCAAATGGCCTTCGGATCCAATCATTTGGTGATAGACCCTTGTTATCTTCGTGTTGTTAATTCACTGGCACACACACTGGAAAGCTTTGTAACCACGCTATTTCTAGCCTGAACTGGATCTGTCCCAGCATATCGAGCTTCTTATAGCAAGAACTAGCTTCCTATGACATGCAGAATCACCGCTGAAGAGTAAGTCCTGTGACCAGACGAGACCATGTGTAGCCTTAATGATTTGGAGGGAAGGAGGGCACCGGCAGGCAGGGGCGGCCCCGTTGTGCGTGGGAGGGAACGTAAAACGATGTGCTCTTTTTCTTCCTTCCGTGGACAGGGCTTGGATGTGGCCCACAGCCCTAAACCAGAACCCTGGGAAGTCTGTCATTTAAAACACCATTACTGGTGGCAGGAAGGCAAGATAATGGTGGCTGCTAGGGGTCTCTGGCTAACTTTACATGTGTTTCCATACTTGGAAAACAGCCAGAGAACTCACAAAAGAGGAATGTTCTCATTGAAATCCAACTAAGCTGCGGCCCCCAGCAGCCGTATCACCTTAGCAGGCGCACACCCTGGGCAGGCGGTGGGTGCAGAAGTGCTTCCCCCTTCGCCCCAGGCCCCTCCGACAAGCAGAAGAGCGTAGGCCTGCACCTGAGCCCCGAGGGTTCCAAAATTTAACATTCTGCCTTAAGAATTAGTGTGGCCTTTCCCTGCTGGTAGTGCTCGCAAACATGGTGAACGTTCCTAAAACCCGGCGAACACTCCCTAAGAAGGGTGGCAAGCATCGACCCCACAGAGTAACACATATAAGAAGGGCAAGGATCCTCTGTGTGTGCAGGGGAAGCGGCGTTATGACGGGAGGCAGAGTGGCCACGGTGGGCATATTAAGCCGATTTTCCGATAAAAGGCTAAAACTACAAAGAAGATTGTGCTGAGGCTTGAATGCGTAGAGCATTCTAAGAGCAGATCTAAGAGAATGTTGGCGATTAATCTGAACTGGGAGGAGAGAAGGAGAGAAAGAGTCAAGTGATCCAGTTCTAAGCTTCATATTTTGCTTTATTAAATAACAATAACATCTTGATATGTTAAAAAAAGAATTAGTTATTTCCTTTCTTTTTCCAAATATATTAGTAGTTCCATTATAAAAAGAAATGTCCTTTCACTCTATAAAAAATATCTGAATAAAGTAATTCTCTAGGAGGATGTATCTTTAAAAATTTTTTGATAGTCTCCTGAGTGTCTCCCCTCGTCCCAATCTGAGACACAAGACCCAGTTCTAGTCCCAGCTCTGCCAATCACGAGCTATGTGAGCTTCGGTAAGCCACTCAGCCAGAGTTGCAGGTGCTTATGAGATTTTAAAAATTCCCTCCTACTTGTAAGTCTTAGTTCCTATTAAGAATGTAGAAAATATTGGATTTAGAAAGCAAATTTTATTAGAGTAATAAAAAATGTGATTAATGTAGAAAAATCTTTAGAGTGACATCAAACTTTAGTAGAATCCAAAATTTACTTTAGATGACCCGATCACCTTAAATAGAGTTATTAGTTTAGAAGGAAAAACCCCAATAAGCTTTAAGAATAAAAACATATAAGGTTAGCCCAGCCAGTGTAACTCAGTGAACATCGTCCAATGAGCCAAGAGATCACGGTTTGATTCCTGATCAAGGCACAAGCCCAGATCGCGGGCTCAATCCCTAGTGGGGGGCGTGCAGGAGGCAGCCAATCAATGTTTCTCTCTTTCATCGATGTTTCCACCTCTCTATCTCTCTTCCTTTCCCTCTAAAATCAATAATAATGTATTTTTAAAAAGTAAGTTACCGTAACGAGGCTTAAAACACACACATACGAGGCTAAGTCTGAAAATAATCATTCTCTACCTGCTGGTTCTTCTATAACTCATTGTTTTCAATGTCTGTAATGATTTTTTATACTGTTAATGTTCAGACGGGAAATACTCTCTGTAGGCTTGTATGCCATGGGCTTCCCATCAGAGACCTAGGATGCTTGGTGTCCTTTTTTTCATTCTTTCCTGGGAAGAAAAGCCAGTGCTGCCAAGGACAGCAGTAAAGAGTCATAGACAGGAGAGTGATAACCCTAAGATTTAATTTAAATAAAAAAGGAAAAATGAGGTGGCTGCAAGTCAGTAGAGAGAAGTCGTAGACTGGGTCCTAACCCAGTTTTGCCGTGGACTGGACAAGTCACCTCTGGCCGCAGTGTGCACAACGGGGCAGTGAAAGGCTCCTGCAGGAGGCTTTATAAGGGACCAGATGACTTCTCCTTCGGATGTGGAGAGAGCAGAGTGCCTCTCCTGCCCTCGCCAGCCAGAGAAGCCCGCTGGTTTAGTGAGCTGGAAGTCTTCCCAAAGCCATCAGAAACTGAGGCTACTGCTGCAAAGCAATCAGTGCAATGCAGTCCCCCAGGGACTCATCCCTCAGGGGAGAAGGAACACAAGCACTCCCTCACTTCTGCAGAGCACAGGAGGACGTGTGCTTTCCACAGATGGGGGGGAGAAGAAATCAGCTAAAGATTTCAATGAATTCTTTTTTTAAAGTATATCTTTATTGATTTCAGAGAGGAAGGGAGAGGTGGAAACATCAATGATGAGAGAGAATCATTGATTGGCAGCCTACTGAACACCCCCTAATGGGGACTGAGCCCGTAACCCCAGCACAGTCCCTTGACCAGAATTGAACCTGAGACCCTTCAGTCCGCAGGCGGACACTCTATCCACGAAACTAATCTGGCTAGGGTAGGATTCTTAAAGGCTACGTGGGGTCTGATGTGTCAGTCCAGAAAGGTGGAGCCGTAGCTACAGTGGAGTCTGGAATCACTGGAAAGCTCTTCTCTACCAGCCTCACCAGAGAACAGTAACCGAGGGTCAACACCATGGCAGGCGCGGTCCTGGGCATGGGAACAGGTACTAGCATATAAATAGAAGCAGCTCTTCCTCTGAATTTCACCTTGGAGTTACAACATCCTGCAAGGCAGACACTTTTCAAAAAAGCCTCTTTTCCAAATATGTACGAAATGTAACATTTGAAAAAGGGAACAGACACTTATTGTTTTTACTGGGAAATAATATTGCAAATATAATTGAGGGATGCTGAACCTCAATCTAGATACCAAAAATGATGTTCATGGATTCAAATCAGGGGCAATTATTCTGTATATTAAAGAATCCCTGGCTTTACAGAAAATTGGCCCGAGTGTAGAAGAGGAATTCTGTGCACAGCAGTTAACAGCCCAGGCTCTGTCCTTGATCCAGTCAAGGTCAATGGCAATGATGGTGATTCAC